GTACTAGATCGATGTACTCCCAGTTACGAGTTCTGACGTCACATAGCCCGCGGAACCATACAAAACAACAATGGCAGCCCCCCCCCCCCCCCCCCCCCCACACACACACACACAAACACACGGTGAGAATGCACTTTAGGCCAATATAACGTTTCAGTCAAATTAATAATTATATAATAATGATAAAAATACACACACGATTATGTATTACAATTTTAAGTGTCTCTGAAACAATAAGTATATATTGCGCACAGGTAGTTTGGCGTGACTGGATGGAACGCTACAAAGTCGTGAGTCGTGGTTTGAAGTCGTGATTTACCTGCTCAAAAACCTGCCTGGAACGCAGCATTACTCCCGGTGTTAGTGTTATTCCACAAGATTTATGGATAAATCTGGATAAACTGTTTGATTTATAATTATTAGATTATTTTCACATTTCACTTACCCTGCTGTGCACGAACATAGCTGTTCCTCAATTTGTGTGTTTCCCATTTGAATGATCAGCGTATGAGGCGGTTGCTGTTTGCGCTGGGAATATAGGCTTTAGCTTCAATTTTTAAGAAATTATTCTCTTATCGGTTGCATATTTTGTCGTGGATATATATCCCTCGAATGCATACTGCAGTCCCTTTTGTCTTGCTCTCTCAACAAATGTTTGCCAAAAATGACTAATTATCTCATTGGGAATGTCTGACACTGGTGCATATACACTGTAATAGACGTGCCAGGCGCGAAAGCTTGACAGGCGTAGCAACAGTAACTACGGAGGGCGGGGCTTAGCGAAGGGTCAATTGTCTAAACCCCAACACACTTCAAAAAATTCATTTTCTCAATAAAAATCTATTGCAATCCTTCCTCCATCCACCCCAAACTGTGGTGTTTACTGCAGTTTACTTTATTACACTTCCTCGAGTCCCTCCACCATAAGCACTGCACTCAACACAGTCACTTTTGTTGTTCATACTGTCCCTATCCAATATTTTTTGGAATAATTAATTAACTGTGTGTGTGACAGTTGTCTCTGTACAAGTAAATGCAGACAGAGAAATACACGTTTTATTTCATACCCAGGCAATGGACAAATGTCTGCACAGATCTCTTTATTATTGCAAATGAAAGGTTACAGAGACATTAACTTATATTTAGAAGAAGATAAATAAATAAAACATTGCGGGAGGGGGACGGGTCATTGGTTCAGAATGCTAGGTGTCACTAGTGAGCAATGCTGAATGAAGCTTCGAGTAATGAACCTTTGGTTGAAGCAATGGGCTGCGAGCAAGGGGGTAATCCACCAGCCGGAAACTGAAGTCTCCCCGGGCGCCGCCATTGGCTAACAAGCCTTCACCTGCTGTTAGCATTCCATTGACTCCCATTCATTTTTACGTCACTTTGACAGCGAATAACTTTACAGCTGAGGCGTTTAAAGACTCCATTTGTCCATTATTTATTTCTAAAGAAACACGACAATGTATAAAATGCTCCATTACCTTGTATCTTACGTTGTGGCCCCGTAAAAGCAGTTTTTGTAAAAATAGGCTAACGATTGCGTCATAACACGCGACTCTCTGTCGCATAGAAGAGAAATGAACGTAAAGACAGATGTAGAAGCTCACTCGCAATTGGGGGACGTGGAGGCATAAAGTCAAGGGAGAAGCCCATAGAGAGTCAAAGTTGCTCCTGCTGCGAGCTCATGAACAGCTAATACTCACGATCTCCGGCTCTGCAAGATTCAGAAGGGAATGATTCAGATTCCTTTTGGCACAGCTACTAGAAGACGTACAACAGTCACGTCACAACTACGTCTTCAAGCTCAGTTTGAGCCTGCGCAGTGCGCTTGGCAATCAGGAAGTGAGTGCTTCTATTTGACTTCACTTTTCTCTGTTGAAGTCTATGGGGTCGCTGTGTCCATTTCTTTTACTTTCTAGGCTGCGAGGTCTCAGTGGTTCAGGAAGCCTCATCTTGCCATCACTACCAAGCATTCCTATTAGAATCCAGATGAAGCTTATGCAGCGACTGTCTTCTTCCACAACCAGGCACTGCACAATATTTTGTAAACGGCATGTTTATTGCTCGGTAGCTCGATCCGGTTTGTTATCACGGGGTAGGCCTATGTTATTTAGCTATGCGTGTAATACGCATAGACAGTAAAAGAAATGGACAGAGCGATCTCATTGGAACTCAGTTGAGACAGTTGAAGCCCACTTTTAGCGATTTTTGAGAACTTCCGTTCCTGACGCGCAGACTCAGACCGACTCAAACTAAGCTTGATGACGTGAGCAACCTGTCTGACAGACGTTAATCTTCTAGTAGCTGTGCGTGAAAACTGCCAACGTTAATCTTGCAGAGACGGGGAACTTGAGCAAAGAGTTCTTTGGCGTGAGTGAGCAGGAGTAAGAATTCCGTTGCTTTTATGGACTCATTATCTATGGGCTTCTCCCTTGACGGGACGTCCCCCCGATCGCCTGCGAGCTTCTCCTCCTGTCTGTACGGTAACTTCTGTACAGCGCGACAGAGAGTCGAGTGGTTATGACGCAATCGTTAGCCTATTTTTACTAAATCTGTTTCTACGGGGCCATAGTGTAACATAGAAGGTAATGGAGCCCTTTATACATTGTCGTGTTTCTTTAGAAATAAATAATGGACAAATGGAGTCTTTAAACGCCTCAGATGTAAAGTTATTCGCTGTCAAAGTGACGCAAAAATGAATGGGAGTCAATGGAAATGCTAACGCAAGTGAAGTTCTGCTACAACATGGCGGCACCCGGCCGGCTTCAACTTCCGGTCGATGGATTACCCCCTTGGTAATACGCGAATCGGTGGGCGGGGCTAAACCGGCCGTGTTGAAGTAGGCGTTGATCTTCTTCTGCCGGGGTGGTGTTTTATCCTCTTTGACGTCATAGTTCCCCACTTTGAAAAACGAGTCGTTTGCTGAGCCTGGTGTCAATAAAAGCATTTATTGGACTAACAAGGACGTTTTCAGTTCTGAAACTTACAGGATATTCTTATAATATGATGACCTCTTAGAAGTCAAAAGCTCAAGGAAAATTTGATTTCTCAGTTCATCACCCCTTTAATGCAAATTAGCAGGTTTTCCATGTGAAAACATTCTGGCTATTTAATGGACTGCAGTGAGAAACTCGAGGCCTTTTCTGTAATTCAGAGAGCCCGTGAGGTTTAGTCACCCAAAACTCAGCCTCATGTATTTCTTAAAATGTTGGGTTTGCATCTTTCTCTTATTCTAGAGCATTTGATGTTATTGTATTGATTATCTTTGAACTGATTGTGAAATTGGCATGATACTTTACCCGACATAATAAATTGTTACATTTGATTATTCTAATTGACTTTGACATTGTTCATTTAGCTAATGGTTAAAAGGAATAGTCAAACACTCGCTCACATTTAATGATGCACAGACATTATTGAAAACCTTTTCATATTTGGAGTCAGATGAAATTAACGCGTTAATACATATGAGAAAGTGTATTGCATTTAATCAGAAATCCCATTAGCATGGAAAGGATGGAACATGCGCGAGACCTTCGCCGCTGATCGGATGGCGCCATTGGTTCGATCTATAGCGCGACTTAACACTATCATAGAAATCACTTGCTCAAAGAAAAATATCTTGTGTGATCTCTGATGAAATTTCTATTTACGATGGCCAATGCACCTTAATGTATTTCATGATTTTCTGTGTCTGTAATGGAAGTTGCATTTTAACATCAACCCATTTTTAATTGCTTTTCATTAAATATCTGTCTCACTGCTTCCTCTTTGGCAGGTGAAATAAGCAAATAGTAATGAACGACTGCTCAAATTTGTCTTTTTAGCAAAAAAACAAAACAAAGAAACTAATTTTTTCCAGGCCTGTGATGGAATATTTTTAAAATTCACAATGAAATAATAGCCATTGCTATTTCCAAACTTTAGACAAAATGAAAAAGTACAAATGACAATCTAATGAAAACTCGTTTATATTATTCATAATAAACAAAAGAGACTTATAATGCAAACAAAGTATAGTTTACAAACAAAACAAAACAAATGACATATATTTAATAAATATTAAAATATAATAAAATGTTACAAACAAAAGTAAATGGTTGATCAATGTTTCAACATCTAGTATAATACCACTTTGTACTTTCCGTGTTTCCGCACATTTGCTAAATTACCATTTTAATAAAAGCTTCTCAAAGACGTGGATAATTACGGTTGAGGCTTGATATTTCTCACTCAGTTTTGTAAGTTAACAATAAATAGGTGGGGGCAAAGATGAAAGCTGTGAGAGCAAAAAGCAGAGATTTGATCCATTAATTCATCTCTTTCTGTGAGGATGAATTGCCCCGTTGAAGTGCAGGACCTCTTTCATTATTTGATCTAGAACACAAAAGGTTGAGAGCCCAGACCAATGGTATAAAGCAGCATCTCCAAACAAGATCTTTTCAATTCACTCACATGCTCAACAGCAGAGAAATGGGGTGAAATAGTAGATGCATTGATTTGATTATATTCAGTTCAAAACACCGCTCCTACATAAGAAAGAGGTCCTTCAAATGAACCCACACAGCAAAGAGGAACAGTCCTAAATATGGAAACGTCCCTCACTCAAGAACAAAACATATTTAGGACTTTTAGAGGCATTCAGATTTCGGCCGGTTTAAATTTTTGCTGTTTAAGACTGTTTCTTAATGGATGATTGGTTTTCAGAAAGAAATGTCTCTCTTTCTGACAATGGACTGACCATCATAGTCTGACATCATTAAGATTAAATTTTGGTCAGGGAAACAAAATATATTAAAAAATATATTAAAACAAACCATTCCTGAAAAGTATTAATACAAATACAGAATTGAACAGTAAATGCTCTAAAATAGTATAAACTGCTAGTACTATACGTTAAAAAAAAACGAGTGTATAAATGGGTCCTAGGACTGAGGTCCTGAAACTGCAGCCTCCGGTCTTGCAGGAATACTCTGTTTACTCGCTGATGTCTGTCAGGCTGTTGGGTGTGTCTGGATGCGAGCCGATATTGACACAACTTCACCTCCAGCCGAACAAAGACCTTCCTTTGATAAGGAAAGCTGAAAACCAAATCCAAACAATTGAACAATAGTGCAAAAATGATGTATCCATTACGCAATGTTAGTAAGTCATCTTTTGTGTATCCTGATATTTACCAATTGCTGGTATGATCTGTCTTCAGCATTCTTTTGCAGAATAAAGTCGGTCAGTAGTTTCCATGGGGGGCTTATCGTCATGTCACTGTCCTGGCTCTCGGGACTGGCCAGCATTAGATCCTCTGAAACCTTTCATCAAGACCAAACGACAAACACCACTTCAGTTTCTGACTGCAAACTGTCTAGGCATTGGTAGACCTTAGGGGAGTTCTCTGTTACAGGATCTCTCATCGCTCTTGATTCCAGAAAAAAAAAATACATAAAAAAATACACTGACAAATGCATTAAAATTTGTCAGTGTACACACTACCGGTCAATTTTTTTAAATGTTTTTGAAAGAAGTCTATTCTGCTCACCAAGGCTGCATTTATTTGGTGAAAAATACAGTAAAAACAGTAACATTGTGAAATATTATTACAATTTAAAATAGCTGTTTTCTATTTCAAAGTATTTTAAAATGTAATTTATTCCTGTGATTAAAGCTGAATTTTCAGCATCATTACTCCAGTCTTCAGTGTCACATGATGAAATCTTTCTAATATGATGATTTAATGCTAAATTATTATCTTATTATCAATGTTGAAAACAGTTGTGGTGCTTAATATTTTTTGTGAAAACATATAATACTAAATGTTTGTTGAGCATCAAATCATCATATTATAATGATTTCTGAAGGATCATGTGACACTGAAGACTGGAGTAATGATGCTGAAAATACAGCTCTGATCACAGGAATAAATTATGTTTTAAAATATATTAAAACAAAAAACAGCTATTTTAAATTGTAATAATATTTCACAATATTTGTCCTCGTTTCCTTGGCTCCTGGGATCATAAAAATGACATTTTATTTTTATATTTAGTACTGCCTTGAATAAGATATTTCACATAAAATTAGTTAATGCATAGTCAAGACAAAGTGACCCATGTTCAAAAGTTTACACTTGATTCTCTGTGTGTCGTTACATGGATGATCCACACCTGTTTGTTTTTTTTACTTGATGGTTGCTCTTAATTATGATCTTTAATCAAAATAACAACAATTTCCACCAATTATCCAAAAGTTTTAGGGCCCTATTTTAACGATCTGAAACGCAAGTGTCAAAGCGTAAAGCGCAAGTAACTTTGTGGGCGGATCCCGGCGCTGTTGCTATTTTCCCGGCGGGATAAATGCCTCTTGCGCCTGGCGCAAATCTAAAAGGGGTTGGTCTGAAGTAGCTTCATTATTCATAGGTGTGGTTTGGGCGTAACGTGAAATAAACCAATCAGAGCGTCATCTCACATTCCCTTTAAGAGCAGGCGCGCTTGTTCTAAAGCGGATTCCTATTATAACGGCGGATTTGCCAGGCGCGCGCCAGGAGCGGGTCACAGCCGAGGAGAGCAACGTTCTCGTCAGGGCCGTAAAACACAGAGAAGTGACATTGGGGATGGAGAAACCCACCCAAATTAACTTCTGTTAAACAGGCGTATGATAATTTGGGTAAATGTGTAAGCTACATGCTTTTATAATAAATTGTCTATCTATCTATCTATCTATCTATCTATCTATCTATCTATCTATCTATCTATCTATCTATCTATCTATCTATCTATCTATCTATCTATCTATCGTAATAATGTATGATTTGCAAAAATGAAAACTGCTGCTTAGATGAGAGAATCAACGTGTATGCGCGTTGTGCACACGCTACATTGATTATGGCCAAGCATGCGCCCTTAAAATAGCATTATGAACAACGCGCAACGCGCCACTGACTTTAGACTAGTTTTTTCTGGTCAGTGGCGCAATTGTTTTATAGAACAGCAAAATAGCATGAGAAAAAGTTTGCGCCGGAACACGCCTCCTCTTTGCGCTGAACCGCCCCGTGGAGCGCAAGTGTATTTCTTAGTTAACCGACGTGCGTCTGTGGAGGGAAAAGTCCGCTTTGCACGGGTGCAAAATAGGAATGATACATGCGTCAGTGTACAAAGTCATTTGCGCCGAGTGCAAGATAGGGCCCAATGTAGTGTGTTGTCTTGAACATCAGCTTTCGGTCATCCAGGTAGCAACACACAGTCTATTGAGAAATCCCTCTTTTTTGAAGATGATAAACATTCTGCAAGGGTAAACTTGTGACTTCAGCTGTACATATATTTAATATTGCCTTTCACATTACCTTTGGTGCAATAAACAATCCTAAACAGTTTCTTTTTCTTGCTCAAGACACATTGAGAAAGATTTTTTTTTAAATAATTTTAAATGCATTTTATTGAATCATGCTTTTGAAATCAATAAAAAAAACTATGAGTCATGATTTGAACCAAGTCTGAGCGAGCATTGCGAGATAATTCTGCCCCACGCAATCCTAGAACCGGGCCTGTGTGTAGTACCTGCTCACTCGCCAGACAGCCCTCGAGCTGCGTCTGTGTGTGTCTCATCATCACACTTCTTTTCTTATCTTTGCATCTCTTGTTCTGGAACCAGACGCGAATGACCCGAGGACTGAGGCCCGTCATTTCCACGAGCTGCTCTTTCATGAGGGCGTCGGGTCTGGGATTGGCACTGTAACAGGTCTGGAGCATGCGGAGCTGGGACTCGCTGAGAACCGTCCTCACGCGAGTGGCTCTCTCTGACCTCGAGGACCAGGATGCTGAGGACTTCATGTCCTCTGTGATACACACATATATAATGAGACGTTTTACCAACATCACAATCGTCACTGCCGTTTCAACATAACATGACATAACATCTAATGCTAAATGGCTGTAAAAAGGTTAACAAAAAATGTATAAATTTTTTTTTTTTTTTTTTTTTAAACAGTGAAACAAAATCACAGTAGCCCATGCAGCTACCAGGGAACGTTCTGGCCCGGTTCTCACAAAGTTATGACGTTCTTCCAGTGACATTAATAAAATGTTCGTTCAAAGGTCTTTAATGAAGTTAGCTTAAAAATATTATTTATATATCAATCATGAAAGGGTTTTTATCTAAAGCATTTTAGTTCTAGCATGTTTTAAATGTTGTTTCAGAATGTTTTTAGAACTTTCAAAAGTATCATTCCCCTAATGTTTATATAATTGTAAAATGGAATGTTTCCTTAAATGAATAGTTCACTTAAAAATTGTAATTCTGTTATCAATTACTCACCCTCAAGTTGTTTCAAACCTGTATGATGTTTTTTCTTCTGCTGAACACAAAGGAAGATATTTTGAAGAATGTCATTATTGACTGTCTGTAGCCGTTGACTTCCATAGTAGGGAAAAAAAATACTATGGGAGTCAATGGCTACCGTTAACTCTTTGGTTACAGACATTCTTCAAAATATCTTCTTTTGTGTTCAAACTCATACAGATTTGGAACAATAGGAGTAAATGATAACAGAATTTTATATCAGTGAACTATTCCTTTAATTGGAATGTTAGCTAAATATTTATTTTTTTGTCAGCTGGGATCAACATTGATTCAATTGCAAAACGAAATTCAACAGTGATTCAACCTTGAGGTATAGATTCACCTGGTAATAAACATTTAAATGCTGGCTGGGATTGGGAAGCTTGAGCAGAAACTCTGTAGACTTACCGGATGGATCAGCAGTCTCCTTCTGTTGGTTATTTGATGCACACTTTAATTGTTTAAAACACTCATGATGGTCCGTACAGAGCAGTTGACCGTCCCGCAGAACATACTCATCTCCAGGGAGTAACGGACGATTGCAGCTCTCGCATCGAAAACACTGCATGTGATAAATATTCACTGGTGTTCGCATGACATACTCCTCTCTGACGAAGGCTTTGTGGCATCTGGCACATTTACTGCTGCATAATCTGACAGAGAATATAGGGGGGGTTATCATATAAAATAACACTTTACTATACATTGTATATATATTTTACAAATGTATATGTAAATGTATGTATGTGTAATACTATCAAAATTGCTGAATGAAATATTTACATGTTTTGGAATTTTTCATCCAACACTTTTTAAAAGTTTAAAAAGTTTTTGTAAAAGTTTTTTTTTTAATCCTTTCAATTCACTGTACCTTATTTAGTTAGAAAACTGGGTCACACTTTATATTAGGTGCATGTCTTTATACTTACTTTTTTTTTTTTTATTGTAAGACAATGTAGGCTACTTGTCATGTTTTGCATGTTTTGTGTTCATGTTACAACACACCTTTGCTGCTATTGAGGTGCGATACAAGTAAGGTTATGTTTGTATATGGGTGGTTTAAGGGTAAGGGTAGGATAAGGTGTAAGAGAAGGGTCAACATGTTTACTGTAAAAAAGTTGCTGCCTTAAAATTTAAATATCAATCAACTCGGACGTTTAAGTCATTTCAACTAAAATTACATTAAACTGACTTTAAAAAATTTGTTGAATCTTGTAGGCTATATAGCCTATATATCTTTTTTTTTAATAGAAAATTGCTAAACCTTTTTCAATGAGTAAAGCAATGTAAAAAAAATATATGTTGTCATAACTTATTTATCATATATATATATATATATATATATATATATATATTTTTTTTTTTTTTTTAAGTGCCACAGCCAGTTTTTTTACATAGCCTACACCACACGTAAAATCGTATGTCCTCTACACAACAAGTGGATTTTATCAACTGATTAATTTAAAGATAGTTAAAGAAAAGTGGGACAGAAGCTGTAATAAGTAGACCTGAGCAAAACTTATCTTTTTAGTACCTGTGGTCTTTACAGAAGGTTTTCCCGTCTCTGATGAAGCAGGTGCGGGACTCGTCCAGATACTGATGGCACTGCGCGCACCGCAGACACTGCGCGTGCCACTCCAGATCAGGAGAAACCCGCAGGATGAAGCGATCCAGGATCAGATGCCCACAACCCACGCAGGATGAAATCAGCTCATTTCCTTTAATAACCAAGAATGAGCCACATTATTTATATTTCTCATCGTTTAATTGTGGTGACGTTTCAAAATACAAATACGCATCTCACCTTACGCTGGCCTATAATTAAGTTGAACTTTTGGATGACAACTTACTGTTCTGTTGATCTCCCATCATGTCAGGAAGCAAATGTAACAACGCCGTTATCTTCTAAATGATAGCCTAGGCTATTAAACACTAAAGAGAATGAACTACACATCTACAGGGCCACTAAGTCTGGCTCGCTCCTCTTTATTTATTTGATGTGACGTAGGTGCAGGAGCACCAATCAGGTGCTCACCCGCCACTGGAATCCCCGCCCTCTAACACTTAGACACGCCCACAACAGGTACAACACATGTTTTAGGCTATATATTAACAAATAAATAAGTATAGAGAATAATTGCATAGGCCTACATCGTAATTATATTTCATGGGTTTTATATAACTGAAACACATATTAAATAAAACCGATGATAGATTTGAATAGAATGATTTGGCTATTTAAGTTATATTCATATCTTACAAATTTGTTTTTTGTAATAATATTAGCAGTGTTGTAAGCATTATATTTGTATTTCCAAATTTCACTTCTTAAAGTCCCCATTAAATCAAAATTGAAGTTTTTTGGGGGGCTTATAGTATGAATATGTTAGTCGAAGATATAGTGTTCAAAACTTACAGTCTCTCACTTCAATATGGATCAATGATTTCGATGACATCACTCTGCACCTCAGCTTCTCATCAGATATTCTGTCAAATCAAATGCTCTCTAGAATCTAAAGTGTCCTGCCCCCTTCATTATAAATAGACCTGAAGCTGCATCACACATTTATTGTTTTAGTGAATGGCACACTATAGGGGTTAGGAAACGATTCAGACAGTGTAAATGCTTTCCATTGGGGTGAATGAAGTCTGGTTTCACGTTAGTGTCATGTGAAGCGCTGCAGTACACAGTCAGCTCCGGTCCAGAGACACAGAGCGGATCATATGATCGAGTCGGCGCAGACCAGAAAACATATCGTGACCCATTTGAATTTTGCACAGAATGCTTTAATTGATATGGAGGAGATTAGGAGGGGAAACGGTTAGAGAAACTGCGGCTTTACCGAGCTCAACGGCTCTGGTCGAGCTGTGATATAAACGAAACACTATTGGTTATTTAAAAAAGGAGGAGCTGTTTGATATGTCCCGCCTTGTCTTCCTGTTTCAGTGGAATTAGGTCAACACATTAAATAATGCTGCTGGTGTCAAGGCACTTCAGTGGGCCTTTAAACATTTCATACGGCTCCCCAGATGGTTTGAATTACCTTTCCTGGATACCAATAGATAAAGATTTATTTGTTTGCCCTATTGTATCCTGGTTCCATTCTGGAATAGATATACATTAATAAAATAAAATAAAGTTTGATTTAGCCAACTTATTTATCTGATCATAGGTGTAGCAGCCTAAAATGATCATGTGTATTAGGTTGTCACACAAAAAGAAAGAAACACATGCAACTTTCAACGTTAAATTATGAAAATGGAGCCTAAAATGAACCCATTAGAAAATGTTGGTTATTTCAGGTTGTTGGCTAGGCCTAACTAACGTCCCAGAACGTTATTATTTTGTTTCCCAAAAATAATCATAAGGAAGAGTTATGTTAACGTTAAGGGAACATTCTGTGTTTATCTGAATTCGAGACTTAAAACTAAGATTGCATTGATTTCTATAAGCCTAGGCTTTTTTTATTTACAGGGGTGGCAATACAAAAATGGGTTCCATGATAGTCGGAAAACTGTTTCATTTATTTTGTCATAACACAAAGAAAACTACTATAAAAAGTGTCTAATAGCCTATCTAAAAATATGAATTTGTCACCCACAGATATAGGATCAGCGAGCGTCTTCGCGCAAACCTACACGCAGACGTCACATTACATGCGTCATTGCGTCATCAACGTCCGCCATATTGAATAAGGAAATAAGAGTGGAAGAGGTGGAACGTCCCGGATGCATGTAAACATCCACGTCAACAGAAAGCATATTAATGAAACAGTTATAGGGGCACGGAACAGCGTGAATATAGACATTACCTGTCGGATGTATAATTAAAAGACTGTTAAACACACTGGTGTTTTTAGGCTTCTGCAAAACAATGACTTCGCTAACGCAGAGAAGCTCGGGCCTGGTGCAGAGACGGACCGAGGCCTCGCGTAACGCCGCCGCCGCGGATAAGGAGAAAATCCCCGGAGAGGATGAGGACGAGTCCCGCCGCGGAGAGGAGGAGGAAGAAGACAAGGGCGACTCCAAAGAAACACGGCTGACTTTGATGGAAGAGGTGTTATTGCTCGGACTGAAGGATCGAGAGGTTCGACCTGACTTATGTGGCTTTGTTAGTCAAATGGTCGCCAGGAAGCGGCTAGTTAACATGATGATGACTAAGTTAGATAAATCCTGTTAAACGACACAGATTAAGTGTCTTAAGAACAGCTGTTTCTGGAGACCTTCAACATTTAGCCTGTTAGAAGGGTCCCAGTCGTGCTTTTCGAGTAAAATATAGTTAGAAAGCATAACGTTAGGTCTCTAAGTGTTCTGTCGTAAATGTGAATTATGTAACTGTTAACTCTTTATAACTAACTTACCCTGCACATAACAGTTGCAACATGATAGGCAATTCTTGTTGATGTCATGTAAAATTAATGCCGTCTGGACCTTTTATGTATTTTTATGTGTGATATATCTGCCGATGTTGTTCTTAGAATAATAATTGAATAACTTCTGTCTTAGGGTTACACGTCATTCTGGAATGATTGCATATCTTCTGGTCTGAGAGGGTGTATGCTTATTGAGCTGGCCATAAGAGGACGCCTGCAGCTGGAGGCATCTGGAATGAGGAGGAAAAGCCTTCTGTCCAGAAAGGTGTGTGTGTGTGTGTGTTTTAAATTATTTTTTTAATGCTATTTACACTTCATTTTGACAATTTATACTTGATTGTTCATCAGGTTTTGTGTAAATCTGATGCCCCCACTGGAGACATGTTGCTGGATGAGGCATTGAAACATATTAAAGAGACTCAACCTCCAGAGACAGTCCAGAGCTGGGTTGAGTTGTTAAGTGGTGAGTTGTGAATATATTTGACGCATGTACAAGTATGTTACTTATTTTTACGGGTACATTCACAGTTCCAAACCTGTTTGACTTGCTTTCTTCTGTGAAACACAAATATATTTTTTTAAATGTTTCATTGGGATTTTTTTTTTCCATAAAATGAAAGTCAGTGGGATTCAGTGTTGTTTCAATCCCCTCTGATTTTTGTTGTTTAGTCAAAAAAGTTGCAATATTCTTCATAAACATTTGGAAGGACATGTAAGTGATGACATACTTACATTTTTTTTTGTTAGTTTTTTTGCCTTAAAGTCAGTGTGAAACATTGCAAACAATATTACTTCTGTGATCTGATTCATTTCATGAAATAGAATTTTAAAAAAAGAAGTGCGGTTAGGGATATTCATTTAGTTTGTTTTCCCCTAACCGACAACCGAAACTCGTTAAACGATAAGTTTGTTAAATTAGAATTAAGTTTAATTAGAGTGGTTAAGTGTGTGTGACCCATTAAAAATAACAAAATTTGTTTTCCAGGGTTTAGTTTTACATGCGCAAATAGCAGAATAAACAACAGAACATGAGGATTCATCGTCACATCATGCACCTGCAGCGGTTCTGTGAACACAGAAAAACAGAATAAAAGCATATTTATTAAAGGAATAAATACGCAAAATAGATTTCACTTAAATATTAACAGATTAACAAAATAAAATAAAAAGCTGTGACAAGTAGGAGCCTATATGATGAGACGACACAAAGCGCATCCTGTTTGATTTCTTTAATTTACTGTAAGTATTCAGAATTAAATGTAAACAGTTTCTAATGATGTCTTACTCTTATCTGCATTATTATAAGGGAGTTTTTTAAGTTGTTTCCGCTTGAATTGTTGAAACTAGGGCTGCAACAAACGATTATTTTGATAATCGATTAATCTAACGATTATTAGAACCGTTAATCGATTAATCAGCGATTATTTTCGCCAACTAATCAGTACATTTGGAACGATTATTCAGCTTTTTCAGTTACTTAAAACACTGAGTTATACATATTCTAACTATAATATAAAAAAAGAAAATCACTTCAGCTTTTGAAATGGTTGTTTTAATGAACTAACTAAACTGTTTAGCCAACTAAACAGGACATTCTCTTTAAGTTTTCAGATTTCGGTCCAACTCAAATCACACACAAATGCTCTCTAAGTATTCTGTTATCTTTCAAAAAAAAAAAAAAAAAAATCTAATCAGCTGCATTACAGACAAACTTTATCTGCAAACAATTATTATAAGTATAAAATAAAAGTAATTGACATGATATTCTTCATAACATCACTTTTTGTAAGTCTTCATGAATATGGAACAAAATACAGGCAAGTGATAAGACCGTAATACCTAATAGTGTTACAATAATAAAAACAGCCCTGACTCCTAAGCTCGATCAAGCTTTATTCAATGCAAAAATAAAGCACCACATTACTGTAATTATATTATTATTGTTAATATTATTAGTTGTATTGCATTCTCTAATAAAGAGATTTACTGCTAGTTATTTAGCTCCAGCTGGAGAACATTCACCTCTCACCGGCTCCTCTTGTGCCGGGGTGTTTCCTCTTTAAGTGCTTTAACATGCATGTTGTGCTCCCGTGAAAAGCAAGTTCCGCCTTGCATGTATTGCACACGACAGCATTCTTCGTTTGAAGTTTTGTGAAACTTTCACACACCTAGCTAGTTCGGATTCGTTTGCACTCCGTCATATTTCGCGCTGTGTTTTCTTCTACCGCAATAGCATTTGTAAGGGCTGCATTACACTCTAGCGCTACAGCGCCGTAGTGAAGTAACATGGCATTTTATTTTGTTTGAAATTTAACTTGTCCAGTGGGACAACTAATTTTCTCTTCCACTTGCCCTACAAAAAATCCACTTGTCCCGGACAAGCCTTAATGTCGAGCCCTGCTGTTCATAATCAAAATAAAATAGTCAAACCAAACATATAACAAGTTACACTGCTCAGTTTGTTTGCCATTTTTGTTCTGTTCTAGATACCGTTAAATTTAAAGGATTTAATATGGAGTGAGGGAAACTAAAATAGCCTATAATATATCTATGTTTATAGTGTTTTTAATATTTGTAAACAGTACAAAATACAGTACAGGTATTTTGCATTAATGTAATAAAAAAACTTTTTTAGGTTTTTTTATTCTCTCAAAAGCTCAATTTTATATGCGTAGAGGTTTTTTTTTTAACCATGCGGCAAACGTTTTCAAAATATCTTGATAAATTGCGTTTGAACCGTTTAACCGATTGTATTTATCTAAAAAATTCTTAATGTTGGTTAACCGGTTAATTATGTATTGGAAAAATAAGAGGAATTTGTGGCACCATCCAAAATGAAAGATTACTTTTTGATATAGTGGGCTATTTTAGATGTCATGTTGATTTTAAGCTTTGTTGATTCAAATATGCTACAAACATCAAAAAGTGCTAGAAATGGATAATTCCAATTCTAGTCAATTTCAAAGGCCCTTTTTACATTCTTTAGGTGAAACTTGGAACCCGTTGAAGCTGCACTACCAGTTGCGAAATGTCCGAGAGCGTCTGGCTAAGAACTTGGTGGAGAAGGGCGTCCTCACCACGGAGAAGCAAAACTTCCTGCTTTTCGACATGACCACCCACCCGCTCACCAACAACAACATCAAACAGCGGCTGGTGCGCAAAGTCCAGGAGGCCGTCCTGGAGAAATGGGTCAACGAGCCCCAACGGATGGATAAGCGTCTGCTGGCTCTGCTGTTCCTGGCACATTCCTCTGATGTTCTAGAGAACGCCTTCGCTCCTCTGCTGGACGACCAGTACGATCTGGCCATGAAGAGGGTGCGGCTGCTCCTGGATCTCGAGCCGGAGGCCGAGGCTGCCAAGTCGGGCGCCAACGAGCTGCTGTGGGCGGTGGTGGCCGCTTTCACCAAATGAACCTCCAGAGTAGAGAGAAAGGGACTCAACTTTGTGCTCATGGCAATGGACTCAGACCACTGGCCCCAAGCTTGGTTGATTCGGACTGATATTGGTGATGGTGATGATGGAAATACAATTTTTGAAGGAGATGATGATGATGATGACACTTGGAAAGGGACGGCTTTTTCTCATTGTCACAGATCTGACTCTGACCTTCACAAAGGTGTTGCCCTGTCTACGTCTAATGGCCAATAGTTGCTACATGATTGCAATTCACTGTGAGGCTTCTTGTAGTTCATGCACTTAGATCATAAAGTTCATGTAAGAACGAAAACGAGCGCATTGAAGGAGGTGTTTTGTAAAGGGTCTGTTTCCCTGTACTAAACTAGGCCGTGACTCTAATCCTAATCCAGATCCTGGTATAATTCTACAGTAATCTCAATCTCCATGTATCTTTGAATAAGGAGCCACTACTTCCGAATACACGGGCTTGATGATCCTTGTCATGGTTTCATGAAAAGGTCCTGTTTCAGTTGCTTTTCCATATTCAGCAGGGAATGTTCCTTGAGCTTCTGATGCCTGAATTGGGTCTTGAATTAACAGAAAATAAACCTTTCCACATTTAAAAAGACTGAAACGCAAGCATCAGTTTTTCTCCGGTGCTTTAAAGATAACATGACCCTTCTTCCTTGCAAGTCTTCTTTCCAGAAATCCACTCTTTCTGAATGCTCGAAGAATAAAATGTTCAAATGTGTGCTAATAATATTGGTTTAAATTCAAAGACAATTTGCTGGCAATTCTCATCAGCCTGTGTATAAAGTGACTAAAACCTGATAGTGATTGTTCTTTTACTCACAGCCTTTTTTTGTTTAGCTGATCAGGAAATCCAGTTCATCTATTCACCCCAAGATTCACAGCTGTATTAATTCAATCTTACGATGGGTCTTGTACTGTAATACACCACCAACAGGTCAAGGAAGCATTGAGCTCGCGTAGATCCCAAGTCAAGCATCTGGCTTTAAGTTGCCTCATAACTTTCATCCATTTCATGCAAATGCCAGTCAAACACTAGCAGAGCCCCGACACCAAGGAAGGCTTTCATTCCCGAGGCCTGTCCATAGTGATCACTGCATTGATGTAGCCGTCTCGTCTCATATGTATGGTTTCATTCATGTCATAATATCTCTTGCTATATTTCCAATTTTTATACTATGTTTTTAATCATTTTTATTTTGTTCCTTCCTTTAGCTGTTAGCAGAATATTTGCCGGAGTCAATTGTCATGTTTTTGGTTGTCTTCTGTCCTGAAAGAGGACTGGTAATGAACGGGGAATGGATATGCCCTTCCAGTGAAAGAAGCAGGTGTTTGACATGTTTATTTTCTGTTAGTAAAAAATACGTAATGAGCTGTAAAAAATAAAATAAAATAGAGATGGTGTGAAATGGATGCCCTGATTTGTACATCTGCTTTGTATCATATAATAAAGGAATATCTTTAAGTGCCTGAAAGGGATATGAATATTAGCTGTCCTCGTTCTTTAAGTTATGTAGATTGCACTTAGTTTTAGTGCTGTGACCAGTGGCGTATGTTTGATTTTGAAATTGGTGGGGACGGGGACATCAATATATAAATATATTTTAAGTTTTGATTGAAATTATTGCTAGGGATATATCAGTGTCACTGGATATTGGTAGGGACACGTCCCTATCGTCCCTACTAAATTCTACGCCCCTGGCTGTGACTGTATGGTTCTGGTGGAATGATGCAGTCAAATCTGGTGTGTTGTATGTAGAATGCACTGAACATGTACAGGGGATTACCATGCCATGATGATGCATACCAGAGCACACGAGACATAACCTCATGAATGCTTACGCTTGACGGGTTTTCCTCCAAACGCATCATGCAGTTCAGACGAGATTGAACAAGTTCAACCAGGTCAGTAAATGTATGTTGATTCAGAAACCGATCGGTTTGGTTCAGTATTACTTTCACTTATTTAAACCAGTAACATTTTTTTTTTTTTTTCAAAGAACTGGTTTATTAGAGTCAGTCTTTCAGGAATCAAATTAACTCGAACACTGGTTGTGCTCAATGTTTTGATTCACTGAAAAGATTTGTTCATCGCACTACTCTGGGGTGAGTTTCCCTAAATCATCGTTAGCCAACTATGGTCTCAAGTTCTATTGAATTGTGTTGGTAACATTGGAACCTGTGACCATAGTTGTCTTCGGGAAACGCATACCTTATGCTGTATGTTCTTGGTTCACTATAAATGGCCGTTTGTTTGTGAGCAGACTTTACTCACTGGTTGCTCAGCATATTTTTGATTCACTTTTAAAATGGCTCATACAAGTCGCCAACACAATCTCATGGCAATTGGTAAGTTTTACATTTTGGCGAATTGGTGGCTATTTATATGAATTTGTACGATTATAGACCAATTTCCAGCCGACGTCACAGTTGCGTCACGGCGCTAGCTGGTGGCAGAACAAAGGGAAAACTGGAGGCGGCAAATACAAACCAGCACAGATTCGGCTACAAAATAAGGATCTTAAATTATTCTTCTTATTATTAAATGTCATCTTGTTGTGTTGTTGGGTGCAAGAATCAATGAAAAATGAATATGCTTTATCTGCGATTTTTTATTTCTAGAAAATATTTACCTCATTAAAATTGCACCGTAATGTCACTCTTTACATTGTCGTCTTCATCGCGCTGGCTCGGCAGAACTACGGATCGTACACACAAGTCTTGTACTTGACCATTCAGCACATAGTTATAGGCATCTAAAGATTTACATGCCCTCTGTTTCTCTATCAGGTAGGTGTAGAAGTCAGGCCACTCAACCGGAGGTAGCGTTAACGTTAATCCTGTCAGATCCTCAATCAATGAGTGTAAGGGTCGGCCGGTTCCGTCCGTTAAAATTAACTTTTGCAAATAACAATCGCGGTCCTGGACAGTGAGCGACCTTGCACATTAAAATAAAATCGGATTTTCTCCAGTCATTGTTAAAAACAAGCTAACAAAACTTGCAGACTTTACGTTAGTGAAGCGGCCAGAGGATATCGTTCTGCCACCACCTAAGCTCCGCCCACAGAAAAACGTCACCATGTTTACCAACTGAAAATTGGTCTATTGGCCCCAGTTTCTAATGTGTGATTGAGTGTTCTTTAATTTCATTGATATGAATGTTATCTTTAATGCTTTTCATATCTGATGATGATTTGTAATCATTTAGTACAGTATATGTGAAACATCTGTATCTACTGTATTTTGATACAATTTAAAAAAAAAAAAAAAAAAAAAAAGTCTATTGGCCCCAGTGACTTATGTTAAAGGTGCCCTGTGTCAAAAAATCAATTCAAAATCCACATATTCCATACCAGATGGGGGCAGTATACCTCCAGAAAGTTGGCCTACTCTAGTCTGTTTTTTAGTTTCGGGTTGTTAATCTTCTAAAACCGTCAAATCATCCGCTTTGTCCCGCCAAAGCCTATTTTGATCGGTGAGTGATGTAGAATAGAATGACTGCTGCGCTTGACAGGGCTTATAACGAGCAGAGAGAGAGAGAGAGAGAGCGCCCCGGCCGCGCGCGCGCACTCTCACGTCTTCAACAACACGAGCGCAGTCCTCCTGCTCTCTCTCTCCCTCGCGCATATTAATCAAATCAATTGACACGATAGTAAGACCGCAGTTCATTTGGAGATTTTTAGAGATTAGAGACTCAATGAACAACATCTCAACACTAAATTATAAGCGATTGACATCAGGTTCAAATACGCCCACAAGCCGTGCGAGTTATTCGTGTACTGCAGTTTGGCTGGTGGTTATGTTGCCCGCATACCGCCTCCCATGGCCGAAACTGGTATTATGACACCGGCCGGGCCGGGGCTATAATTTATTTAGCATGCTAATTCAGGTTTATATCTCGGCAGCACTATAACTTGCCATTTTTTTAATGACATCATTGCATTTATTTCTTCTCATTCTTTTGATACGTGTAGCTCATTTTTTGGACATTTTTACCTCAATTTTTACATATGGCACCTTTAAGGGGTGGAGCTTACAGTTTACGTCGTATGCTGTCAAATCATTAATCGCATCTAACAAAATGTTTACATAGTGTTTGTGTATGTATTTATTTATATATATTATGTATTTATCTGTGTGTGTGTGTGTGTGTGTGTGTGTGTGTGTGTGTGTGTGTGTGTGTGTGTGTGTGTGTGTGTGTGTGTGTGCGTATACTGTATACACACATTACATACAGTAGCCTATATATGTAGACATGCACACGCAGACATTTAGGCTATATATAATAATAATATATACACATATATATTATGTAAACACAATTTTTTATGTTAGATGCAATTAATCGAGATTAATCGATTTGGCAGCACTAAAAATTCATTCAAAATCACCACCTCATTAAATAGGCATAGTTACATTTTCCTGTGATTTAAAAAATCGTATAAATAAATTTCAGGAACCAATCGTACACATGCAAGCTGTTTATTTTGTAGTCTTTGTTATATTTCATCAGTTTCAGAAAACACCATAAAACATTAGTCAGAAACAGAAAGTAAACATTTAATTTGCTTACAGGAAGTGGCTTAGCATACTGTATGTAGATTTTCTCTGCTATCACATGATAAGTAACGTCATGTTACCGGTCAAATTATAGATTTACATATTACAAATAGCCAATATCATAAAAAAATTAGTTTTGTCTAAAAAGTTAGATATAGCTAAATGCCAATGTTTCACAAGACACCCCGAAATTGTACCGTTACAAGTGCTTTAAAAATCTTTGCATTTCGTTATAATAACGTGTGTATCACACACTGGGAGTTATTCACCAAAGAATAAGCCAAATACAATTGCAGGACCTCAGAATAAAAATGTCCAACTGTTTTTTAGGAAGCACTGTATATTTTAAAAAATGTCTGCATTAGGCCTAGATATAAAATATCAAGCAAGTGGCATAACTAAACTTTTTCCTCAGAAATAGACCTTTCCTGAGCCACTTTTTTTTTCTTTCTTTTTTTTAAAATCTGGTCTCGAGGTAATTTATCATGGATAAATGAAGTCAGTTCCTTCCAGTATGAAATAGCTACACTTTATAGGCCTAAAAGCAAGTGTAGGCTATAAATCAGGACATCCATTTCGCACTTTCTCTATTTGTACACATCATTGAGTAGCCTATTGTTTACTAAATTCAGAATTGTTAGGAAAAGAAGTCCAGTAGTAAACGAGCTCAGCGATTCGACCCGATGAATGAAAACTCCTTCAGGACAAACCCCCTCAGAGAAAACAGTCAAGAGACAGATATGGTCTCAGAATAGCACAGAAATGGTCCACGGTGTTTCGATGTCCTCGAGGGCCATCCTCTCCATGTCTTCGTCCCGGAAGTCCATTCCTGTTCAACTTTTTGTTGTTGTGGTTTTTGGAAGTACGACGCACCTCGTCTTCAGAAATGAATCCTCTTCAGATGTCAGGTGTACGTTTGTTCGGATTCCTTCTTTTTCAGCTTTTTCCGTCGTTCTGCATTCTCTGGAGAGCGATAATGAGCTCCAGGAACTTGTATTTCCAATCTAAGAGATCTCCAATTTTGCGCAACTGTTGCGCGCACTCGACGACAGCGGCTTGCTCTGTATGGGCAAGAAGTGAAACTCGTTACGTTTCAAGTTGTAATCATATGTGTTTTGAAAAGAATACTCGTTTTAAACATGTCTTACCTTTCTTCGCCATTTCAGACCGTGAGTGTGTTTTCAGCGGTGTTCAGAGACTCAGACTAGATGAATGATCAAGCGCTCGTTCCTCCAGGAGCGGCTGACTGCAGTGATCGCACTTCTCTGAATTATTGTTAGAAGCGTCTCGCTTAAATAGTGACGCGTAAACAACGTGACCTAGAATTCCCGTTGACGTGGTATTTGCATGTCCAGTTTCCGTGTTTTTACATTGCATCTACCTGTTCTTACATTGCATCTAGCTGCTACCTGTTCTTCATCAGATGAAGGCTGACCCATTGAACTGATAAAATGACCACCTCACTTACATAAGCAGTAGCCTACTGTACACTGTGTACATTGTGAGAACGATAACAGTGAGAGTAACTTCTACTGAATCTGTATAGCCTATAGCCTTGTTTAGAAGAAATCATCACTGAACCACAATAACACGATAACATGACCTTATATGGACTATTAAATAGGGAAGATGGGGAAGTTTAAGAACAATGTTTATTTAGCCTATAAATTGTAACATAGGCCTATTTAGATATAGCCTATACATGGCCTACGTTATGCTAATGCATCACTTAATGTAGGCTATTAAGGGAAATAAAAAGAAACATTTGCTAATTTAGATGTCATAGCACAAAATGTAAATTATGAAAAGAGGCCATCTAATTATCGAGACAGCTAAACTTTTACAGAATATGACTTTTAATATTCTTGTTAATGTTTTTTTAAAGTGTAATTTGTGTAAAATACTAAATAAACTATTCCATTTTAAAATGTGTTGAGACAATTTAGTTAAATAATTGAATAACCAATGACAAAGCTTGCAGAATACCATAAATATTCTTCAAAAACGTATTTATTCTATGATTTATATGACTATTTACATATTGCACATTTTTTTAAATTGAAGATATGTCATATTGCAAGATTATGAATTTAAACTGAACGATTGAACTCAATTAGGTTTTAATGAATAGCAAATATATCTGAAATATACATCAAACTCATGGAATTGTTGAAGAATAACCCCTGAAAAAGAATAACGCTTAATAACATCTTAGTTTTTTTTACTATTTTTTATCTTCAAAATAAAAACAATATTTTTACTCCACAAATCTAAAAACATCCATCATTAATAAATATATACATATTTTACAAATACAATGTCAGGGATCGTTGTTGTTTTCCAGAGACACAAAATTAGGCTAATTTAACCTCAAAACTGTTTCGACAGTCAAAATCTAATGTAGGTCTAATGTTCATCTCGGCCTATTATGTTCAGATGAAATTACATTTAGCTATATAGCCTATAAAAACATATACAACTCCTAAATTTCCAAAATTGCGAACACCATTGTGATTGAAATGGAGTTTCCCTCGTGAGTTGTAAAAAAGTAGAAATTCCATGACGAGAATATTTCATCCATCTTAACTGCTTTTAGTTTCACTTGTTCAGGCTTGCCTCCCTCCCTTCTGGACGCTGATTGGTTGAGGTGAGTTGTCATTTACATTAACTTATCTTATTGTTATTATAATAAAAAGAAGCCAACAAATAGTTCATTGAGTTCATTTCTATTAGGAATGTGGCAGTGGCAGTATTTTGTTTTTCTGAGACTTCTCACGTCACTATCACGTGACATGTGATAACATTTAGCCTAAGTTGAGGAATGAGAGAATCATAAAAACCTGTGGCCTATGTTTACTGTCACTTGATGCAAACCACCCTAATTAATAGTGGTGAAATTGTTTTTTACGACAAATTAGGCCATCAGGTTTATTATCTTTAATTTAATTACATAAAAATAAAATGGGGCCTGTATAATTATTGACACGGCATTCTTTTGTTTATGCTCTTATTACCCTACTAAAATACTACAAAATTATTAACCTGAACACAAGATTGCTGTAAAACTAAAGGTCATTGTTCAAGAGTGTCCAGCAGTTGAGCAGCGGTTCTTCATGACGTGAACAGGCAGTTCCAGATTCGCCCAATGGGGGAAGCATAGAGCAGGGCAGGTGAGATAACGTCACTCCGGTCATCAACATCGATTAAAACCATGATTAAAACCATAGACTGTAAAAAATATATATATTAAAACGAATAAAATACATGTTTATTTATTTACTTAAATAATCTACTTCTTTGAATTATTTATTACATAATTTATTCTACACATGAATGCATAATTTCATTCTAGTATCATTGTTTAAATTACAAGTGAGCCATTATATTGCAAAAGAAATAAGCTTTTATAAAGATGTGGCAGTATGGACTCCAATTAATAAATGTGTTCTTTAAAACAGAGAAGGGCCAAGAAATAGTAGAGATGGGCAAATAAAAGTAAAAGTCAAACACGGGCTAGAAGGACTGATGCGAATCAGAGTAATAATCATAGACTGTAAAAAAGAGTAATAATAAGTAATAGTAAGGGTAAAAATAGGCTAACTTGAATGCGCGATAAGACCAGTAGCTGTCATTCATACTAGGAATCAGACAGCAATAATACTGGGGAAAAGTATAAAAATGTCTAGAACACGGACAGAGAAAGCTAAGCTTACAAATGCCCTACTACAGTTCAACAGTGTAGCCTATATCATAAACGGCATACGCCGTTACAGTTTAGGTGGACCAGCAGGTGGCGCTGTTTCATAATATATTATCTCAGTCATGGAAGACAAAAAGTGTCGGGAACATAGACGGTCGGGAAGTTACTTTTCACAAACTATAATGTTGAATCACTGAGAATCTGAACAATACGGTAAATTGATACTTGATTTGCAATTTAGACCCTGGATTATATTTGCATCTCGATCTTTATTTTCTTACCGAAGTCATGCGTTAACAACCCATGGTGGGAAATCAAGTTTAAAGGGATAGATCACAAGCAATGACAAATCTGTCATTTACTCACCCTCGTGTCTTTCCAAACCTGCATTATCCTGAATCCTGCTGGGGTCCGAACAACACTGGACCCCATTGACTTTTATTGCATGGACAAAAAAAACAAACAGATTTTTTTTTTATTTTTTTTTTAATAGCCTACCTTCTTTTGTGTAAGGGTGAGTAAACGATGACAGAATTGTCTGGTCCAGGTTTGTACATCCTGAACCAGCAGCAAACTTAACTAGCTACAATCTTTTAGCACAGATTTATAAAGTGCTAAAAATGTTGTAAAAAGAGAAGCATTTAGATCTAAATGAAGCAGTTGTTCTAGTCAAGCACTGATGTAATGATGCATGTCGCTGTTGGATTTGACACCAGATGAACACCTGTCTGGAAGAAGTTGTGTGTTTGTCTGTGTGTGGCATCTAGTTGTTTTTGCAGACGAGAGATGCTTTACACCAACAGTATCCAACTGTTGAAAAGCAGCAAAAGGACCTTTTATAGCAGGTTCTTTCTCAGTACACACATTTGGGTGGTTTCTTTTACCATCAACAAAATATTGATCACTATTGCTTTTCAAAGTGTGTCATTAGTTGCGGACTATTAAGTTCTTGTTTCAAAGAACATGCCTGATGCCATTTGTATTGAAGTATGATGACTGTTTGCCTCTTTTGGTCCTTTAATAGAGGGTTTGTCAAGCTTTTCTGACTCTAAGCCACCCCTTCTGATACAGTCAGGTTTTTTTTTTTTTTTTTTTTTTTTTTTACCATAAATTATAACTAATTTAAAAAACTATATTTGGTTTTGGTTTGATCTTTTTTACATTTTAAGAATTCACTAATGCTCACCAAGACTGCATTAATTTGATAACAATACAGTAAAAAGTATACTGTTGTTAAATATTATTACAATTTCAAATAACTCTTTTCTATTTAAATATATTCTAAAATGTAATTTATTCCTGTGATCATTACTCCAGTCTTCAGTGTCACATGATCCTTCAGAAATCATTCTAATATGCTGATTTGATGCTCAAGAAACATTTATTATCAACGTTATATAAAAACAGCTGTGCCTCTTAATATTTTGTTGTTGAAATCATGATTCAGTTTTTCAGGATACTTAGCATGAATGGATGATGAGTGAATTTGATTAATAGTTCAAAAGACCAGCATTTATTTGAAAAAAATTTTTTTTAACAATGTGAAAGTCTTTTCTGTCATTTTTGATCAATTGAATGCATCTTTGCTGCATAAAAGTATTAATTTATGTTATTAATATGTATTTATTTATTATTATTTGCAAAAAAAAAAAGTTTAAACATCAGTCCACAATCTGTATTTCCATGGACCCCCAATAACATGGTTCATACCCACCATCTCACACACACACACACACACACACACACACACACACACACACACACACACACACACACACACACACACACACACACACACTTTGTGCATATTCAGTTTGTCATTGTTTGCAGACAAGGTTGCATTCTTGTTTTGACAGACAGGTAATGTTTTCCCATTTAGGCCACATAATGTCGCTCAGCCTCATTTAATTTACTGCATACCATTTAAGATGTGGCTCTATGAGCCTCTGTGATCAGGAGAGAGCTGTCAGCTCGGCTCGCCTGAATGCCTGCAGCTGAACCGGCTGTGGGCTCAGCTGATGACAGGGAAGTCATTTAGCTCCAGTGACAGGCCTGAGAGAGCGAGAGCTTGAGACTGCTCTAAAACCAGTCTCACAAAGGAGAGAATAGAGCTGCTCATGAAGGGATGCTTTGTGCATCAGGGAGGATGAGCCCTCCTGGTCTCACACCCATAGATCCGGTGCGATCGCATCATGCATACCGCCGACGTGCCTGTACAACCCACTATATCCAGTCTCTAGTATCGCTTCTCATGCAGGAAGAACCTCAGGTGTCTGAAGACGCCGCTAATGCTGAAGGTGTTGATGATCTTTGGCCTGCTTCTGCAATTTGGAAACTCCTCTGGCGTACGTTCTCCGTGACCTCGGGTTCAATCATAAGGCGCTGAGGAAGTGTGGCCTGCTTTGTCAGACAATCGGCAGAGCTGCAGTTTTGAGCTAACAGTCCCTAAGGGGCCCGGAGGCACAGCGAGGGTCCTGAACCTCGATGTGATGCTGTTGAAAGACAGGATTTCCCTGGACAGGAACCTTTCCCTTGTCGGACCCCCAACCTTCTCTGGCCCTGTGACCCCGTCCTGTGCACTAGAGAACCCCCGTCACACTGGAGGGAGTGCGGGAGGCATGAGCCAGGACAGGAAGCCACGAGTCTTCCACAAGCTCCTTGGGGGTCATCGCTAGCTTCCCTCTACTGTAGCCATACTTGAGCCGCCCTCTCGTCCCATTGTTCTGGCCCAGTAAAGCCACACACGTTTCCTCAAGAGTTATTTTTGCCTGACCTGCTATGTTGCCTTGATTTATAATGGTTTCTGTCTTGAATGGGTCTTTCCCTTTTCTCTAAAAGTGAGGTCACTTTTACCGTTGCTCAGAGAAATTTCGCAGGCGAAATCCAGTCATTCCAAAAGGAGCGTGTGCGATCAGGAGTTTTGCGTGAGGACAATAAAGTTCTTGTTTGGTCACGTGAATTCACCGTGCTGACCAACAGAAAAGTGACTGATTTGAACGTGACTTTTTTTGTGAGTTCTGTTTCATACATTGCTACATTATTGACAATAGACAGTTGACCTTTTTGCTATGGAATTTCACTGAATTTGGCCACATCTTTAAGGAACCTTTATTTGCCGTTGCCCTGCGAAATGTCTGGAGTTTCACTTGAGGGTGAAAAAGTAGGCCTACCCCACACCAATTTCACTTGTGCAGGTTGGTCACATGAATTCACTGCACTGTCCACCAGAAAGCTGCTTGGTTTGAAAGTGACTTCTGTGTGAGCTTTGCTTTATACATCGCTACACTGACAATAGACAATGGTCTTATTTTTGCACGCCAAATTAAGCTGAAATTCGCTAATGTGATTGCACCTTTAGGGTGGAGTGGCAAAATGGCCGCAATGCAAAACAGCATCTACTCATTGACCAAGCATCTAGTGCAATAGCTTTAGCTGTGCTACAATATCAACAGCACGTATGAATACTTAAGCATGGTCCAAAGTCAAACTGTTATAATGCATATTCATTGCAAGCTCTCATAAGGGTGTGGCAGTTTGCCTAGGTGTGGTTACAGTCTGTGGCCATTAGGAACACTTACATTTACACATTTATTCATTTGGCAGAGGCTTTTAATCAAAGGAAGTCTTCTAATTAGGAATTCTACAGCTCAAACAGGAAGTGCTACATTCGAAGTGCTGCAATAAAAATTTATAAAGTTGTACAAGCTAGTACATAGATGTACAGATGGCCCAGAAACTATCTGGACACTTAAAAATGTATTAATGCCATTGCATTACATACAACACAACAAAACTGAGTATCCAATAAATTATTATTTTTTATCCATCTTGTCCTATTGGTTATTTTTAGTGTTCACCACCATTTGAAGATCTGGGCCGATAAGATTTTTAAAGTCTCTTATGGTCACCAAAAGCTGCGTTTATATAATCAAAAATAACTGTTTTCTATTGTAATATATTTCAAATAAAGTAATTTTAGTTCAACCTTCACTAGACTGTGCTGAAAATGGTGTTTCAAAATGGGTTTCATTCAGGTCAATCTGTACAAAAGGCAAATCAGAGCTGATTTACCCAATCTGTATTTTATTGTGCTGATCCACTGCATAGTTTTAGCTGAACTGTAGCATCTGATACACATACATGAAATCTAATAGTTGAACACATTAGATCTAGTTTTATATAATGTTAGCTTTATTTATTTACTAAGTTTGTCACATTATGCATCCCTCTGCATCAAGTAAGTTTTGGGGATGCATGATATCGTTGATTTCACTGTTTGTGGAAAAGAAAGTAGATGAAAGCTTCTGTAATTGAGTTTCAGTGGTTAAGAGTCTGAGGCTTTGATGAGGAACACAAATACACATCCGCGGTGATCCATCAATCACTACAGTCACAGAGGAGAATGAGGGTCCATCGTTGACATCACGGCCTGACTCCATGTGAAGCAGATCGATTCAATCCGCTTTATATCTTCTCAATCCTTTATTTACTTGAGATTGTGATTTTTGTTTATTTTGTTTATACTTTTTTTTTTTGTAATAAATATTATTTCAGTTTGGAAATATATCTTGGACAGTGAGTGTCAAGCCTTTTTTCTTTGTTCAGCCACCAAAGTGGATTTGACTAATGACCCTTTCTCATGAGCAACAGACTTTAATGGAGTGGATCCATTTATCTTCATCTCTATTATAATTTAGATATATTATCTCGAATTTCCAATTAAGCTGCATATTTAAACATCTGATGAATAACATAAAGATATTTCATTTCAAAATAACTTGTACTGTTCAATGATATAATTAGAATTACAAAGCAGAACCACTGATTTCCAAACACACGATGGGTTTATTTCTCTGTGTTCTTATCTATTTTATGTAATGAGTGGTTTTAAAATTGTTCTCTTGCAGATCCATTTTTTAAAATTATAACATGGCTTATCTTCCCAACCTGATGAAGTCATTAGAGCACAATAATAATATAAAGGCTGATTCTGATGTCTCCAATACCTGAAACAACAATGAAGAAGACTGTTTGATTTCCAGTAGAGTCAGTTATGAGTATGATATCATATTTACAATAGAGAAATTCTGGCTAATGATCAGTTAATTTCAGTGATCTCTCACCCTTTTACTATTGTGGTGCCATCGATCCATTTCCACACTCCCTCTGTTTTACCCAGACCAATCCAAAACTGATCATATCCTGCAACCTTCTGCAAAAACTCCTGTTATGATAGAACATAGTAATATATTGTATAATATATGTAATAATAACAATGACAGCAATACACCTTTCTCTCACTAAAACAGACCGACCCATGTGTGTCAATGTGCACAAACAAACACAAAATTGTTTTCTTTCTCACTCACTTGTTCCTCTTCGCTGTTTATGATCACTAGATCTGCTCCTCTCTGTTGACAGTCTCGTCTGCTGTCACTCCATCTCTTCATCTCAGATGAAATATAATAAAAACTGAAGTTGCAGTAAATCCATTTAAAGTTGTCAGCACGCTGATCTATTAATACACCAGTTTAGATATTAGTTTGCACAGTTTAGCTTTGTTTGTGTTGAAATTTATGAACAGACACTTGATGTTTAAGTCAATGCTTATTTTTATTGGAGTGAAATGATAGAAACAAAGATACATTTTAATGATTTAATGAGGAAAAACACAAAATTACCTTGTTCGCAAATGCCACGTTGGAGTTCATCATTCTTGTTTTTTATCTGTTCTCTTTCCTCAGTCAGATTATTACTGTGGTTCAGTATCTGCTCATATTTGGTAAGTATCTGCTGTCTTTCTTCAGTCAGATTATTAATGTGGGTTAGTAACTGGTTTCTCTCGGTGGTGAAATACACACAGAGCATCATTACAGCAGTCAGCAGAAGAACACACAGCACACACAAACACACTTCAACTGCTCTGTGCTTTCTGTTCTTCACTGACACACTTCCTGAAGACGACAGACAAGATTAAATTAGTCTTCACACTTCTACTAAATTCTTATGAACTTTACTCTTACAGTTTTGCTCAATCGCTCTGGCTCAATTCTCAAACAAGATCTCTCAAAACAATAAGTTCAGATCTCTGAACAATTCATTTCTTGTTCAACCAAATTTGAACTACTTTTTTATTTAAGCAAATTGTACGTGTTTTGCACAAGTGTTTTGGTGCAAGAGTAAGTACTACACGATATCTTAATGCACATGGCCTGATCAAAACTGACGAGTTCCTTCTCTGTAAAATTGTCATATTCAACACATCTAAACAATCTTTCATCGTGTGAGCCATTCAGTTATCAAAATCTGTCAGACATACGAGTCATTTCTAAAAATATTTACGACATGGCATGTTTAGCATCTCACTTGATGACAAAAAATAAATAATGAAATGTTTTGGGCGAGTTACTACAGACATGATGTACCATAAAACAGTGACAATTGAGTTTAGAGAATGTAAAGACTGTTTAAAAAATAAACTAAAGCATCTGAGAAAATCGCAAGAGATACCTCTGTCTCTCTGTTATAATGTGTATCAGATGAATTACGTTACCAGTGTGTTGAAGTGGCTGATGTCTCTCTGTGTTTGTCCTCAGATCATGATGTCTCACAGTATCTGCACTGTCATAGATATCCACCATCATCTCCACTCTTTCTCCTCTGTCCATTTCCACAGTCTCACTCATCAACATCACATCATCATATATAACTTCAGTTATCTCTGATCTCTTAACGTCATTCATTATAACACTGTGTCAATAGTTAATGCTGCTGTTGTTCTAGCTTCAGATTGTTAGGCTACAATGCTTTGCATGTCATCAGCCTGTCGGAAAATGAACGGAAATAAATAAGTCAGAAAAAAACACAATGAAACTGTTAGTGATCAAGGTGTAAATCATGTGACCTTCAAGTTGCCAAGACAGGAAGGATTGAGAAGTGCCTATTCACGCCAAGAGTCCAAAAACAGAACATTTATGATCATAAGAGGTCAGGCAATCATCTCCTAATTTTCTGTCTTTTCTCTAAAGCTGAATTTTGTGATTTCGGGCACCATTAAAGCATCATCAGATGGATTTGCAAAAATTATTGTTTTCAAACATGTTTCCTCAAACAATCCCCCTTGTCTTCCCTTGGTTGGCAAACAGACTGGTCCTGTCTCTAGACAACGAAAAAAAATGGAGTGAGTTATAAAATATTTTAAATGTTTTATTTAATTACAGACCCCAAACTTTTGACCTCAATGGTGTTATTGTTGTTGAGCTTAGCTGTTGGTTCAACTTTCACTAAACTGTGCTGAAAATGGTGTTATTTCATTCAGGTCAATCTGTCCAAAAGGCAAATTGAAAAATGTCCAGGTACTGTGGGGACATCACAGCTGTGTGTCACTGCTATAAGAGTGGCAGTACAATCAATGAGTACCTCAGGGCCCAGCACTGAGCCCTGAGGTATTATACAGTGTATGATCTTGGAGTCTGAGCAGGTCTGCGAACAGATCCATAGATCCGCTCTGTGGTAATCCACACTTGTTGATCTCTCTTCAGTGGAGGTAAGAAATGTGATTTATGTCGACAGTTGTAGTTAATCGCCTGAAGTTTACTTGTTTCCTCATATTTTCCCCTGAGTTCTTGCAAATCCGGCAACTCAGGATCCAGTTTTCTCGGTAGTTAAGGTAAAGTGGTCCGGATACATCTGCCCTTAAGCAGATGTGAAGGGGAAAACCTGTGCTCCAAAGGAGTTGCTCTGTAAGTCAGCAAGGCTTTGTTTTAGTCTGTTTCTTTACTCCACAATCCTTTAATTGTGCTTACAGCTCTTTCAGCCTCTGCGTTCGCTTGAGGATAATAAGGGCTGCTCGTAGTGTGTTTGAGATTGCATTCATGTGCAAACTGTTGGAATTTATGTGATACGAACTGTGGCCCGTTGTGGGAAACGATCTCCTCCAGAATGCCACTATGAGCAAAAACATCTTTGACTGCTCTGACTGTGACCTTAGAAGATGTGACGTTCAGATGTGCAGCTTCTGGAAAATAGTCCACAATGAGCAGGAACGTTTTCTTTTGCCCTTCAAAAAGATCCATCCCGACTTTTTGCCAAGGACGTGCTGGAAGAGATGTAGGTAAGAGTGGTTCACAGTGAACTATTTTGTGGTGATTGCATGTGTGGCAGTGCTCAACCACCTGACGAATATGTGATGAAATAGCCGGCCACCAGACTGAGTGTTGTGCTCTGGCATGGCACTGTCATCCCCTGGTGCCCGTCTTGTATTTTTTTCAGAATCTCTTTCTGCAATGTCACCGAAATGATAAGTCGGTCACCTTTCATCAGATGTCATCAGGAACAGTCAGTTCTGCTCTCACATGTGGCATCAGCTCTTTGCTCACTGTGTGTTTTTCTGGCCATCCGGCAAGACAGTGTTCTTTTACCTTTTTGCAGGTTACATCCTCTGCTTGGACCCACATCCAGAGGTGCGCGTAAAAGTGTGTCTGCTGTGATTACATTTTTTCCTGGATGTCAAAACTAAATCGAAACAAGTGAGGGCGAAATCTGAGAATCCTGGGTGGGAGTTCGTCCAGTCCTCTGCTTCCCAGCAGTGGTTTGAAAGGTTTATGGTCAGTGAGAATTATAAAATACAGACCTTGTAGATATGACACCAGTCTCTCACACGTCCACATCACTGCTAGTGCTTCTTTTTCAATCTGCACATAGCGCTTCTCAGTATCCTGTGACAACATGCAGTAGGATGACGCATCTGCACAAACTTCTGCCTGTCTTTCAGGTGAACATGCTTACAGCACTTTTGGTAAACTCAATGTCTCTTTCAATCTGTGAAATGTTTGTCTATGTGGCTCATCCCACACCTATACGTTTCTTTGTCTGGGTTAGGGGTTAGCAGTTCCTTCAGTGGGGTGGTAGTTGTGGTAGAAATTTAGCGAGGTAGTTTGCCATCCCTAATACTTTGCTTACATCTGCCTTTGGTTCTGGCATGTGTAGAATAGCCCCGACATTGCTTGGGTCTGCATCTAGGCCTCTTTCTGTGATCTTGTGACCAACGAAAAGCATTTCAGTCTTAGCAAACTCACATTTTTCATTCAGTGTGAGTTTCTTCAAGACATTTTTCAGATGCTGGTCGTGTTCAAGTTTGTTTGGGCCAAAGACAAGAATGGCATCTGCGTGATGTTTAACACCACTGAAATCCTCCAGGAGTTGAGACATTTGCCAATTCCAAATGAAAGTCTATTGAAAAAGTATCTCCTGAATGGATTAATGAATGTGGTGAGTGGTCTCGACTCTTGGGTCAGGGAAATCTGCCAAAAGCCTGATCAGGTTTTGTGAAGATTGTGGCGTCTGACAGCATGGCTAAAGATTGATCGACAGCCGGAAGAATGTGGTGCTCTCTCTTGACCCATTTGTTTAGGTTTGGCAAGTCCACACATGTACAAAATCTACACGGTGTCACTTGAGTTGAGTATTCAACTCAATGTGATATGGGTCATTCAGCAATTCTAGACCACTGAACACTGATTGAAACTGATCAATGTAGTTTATGTCATGTTGTGTGACTGTTTCAGTTTGATGAACGAGATTCAGGGCCTCTATAGCAGGAAGACCCAGAAGAGATTTTGTGAGTTTGTTTACAACATACACATCTTGAATGCTGCTGTGTCCTTTTGCACTATCAGTACACACTGAAAACATCCTTTTACATCCAGAATATAATGCCCTGGGCCGTGCAGTACTTGGAGGTGTTTTTAACTCACCAAACTTGTTTGCTTTGAAAATGTTCTCTGGAACGGCAGTCACAGCTGCTCCTGTGTCAAGTTCAAATTTGATAGGAGTTCAATTTACAGTGACCGTCTCTGTCCACTCCGTTACGGTCCCTGTCGAAGCCTCACCGAGAAAAGCACAATCCTCGCCCTCAGAGAATCCTCTGTCCTGTTGTGAAACATAGTCCAATTTGCACATCCGACATACAGCTGCGAAATGGGCTTTTTTCTTACATTTTCGAGACTCTGCATCTTTCGCAGGACAATCCTCCCAAGTCTGTCCCGTTCCGCATCTACCAGTCATTTTGTGCTGATTTTTGTTTCCCTTTTCCATCATGATGTCTTTCTGGCTTGTTTTGTCTCTTAAAGGGGTGGTATAATTCCCTTTTCACAAGATGTAGAATAAGTCTTTGATGTCCCCAGAGTGTGTATCTGAAGTTTTAGCTCAAAATACCCCACAGATATTTTTATACATGTTAAAATGGTCACTGTTAAAATGGTCACTTTTTGAGCAAAAACGCGCCGTTTTTGTGTCTGTCCCTTTAAATGCAAATGATCTGCTGCTCCCGGCACAGAGGGCGGAGCTTCAAGAGCCGGTGTCCTTTTACCTCACACAGACATGCACTGAACAATTCAAAAACCTTTAGCCTTTAATGTTCAAATCGGAGTCAGACAATGATGGAGAGACTCAAGAAGAAGTGACAACATGTAGAATGCAACAGGACATTTCTGAAAGGTTAGTTGATGAATTTAGGTATCTTTAGTTATCTTCTAGTCATTGATTAGCATATTCTGTCATGATAATCTATAAATGCTTTCCCGGGCCAGGGTTTATGTAAATTGTAGGGTTGTTGATGTCACTAAACCGAGAGGAATGCCATGTAGTCCCTACCAGCAGTTTGTTGTAGTCTTTGAAAAGCAATTTCTTGAAAATATCTCCCTTTGCTTTGAACTTTGAGAGTTGTAACTTTGCAGATGTTGTTTATGCTCAAACAGCAACATTACACACTAGCTAAAGTTAGAAAAGTGAAATCATAATCAACCACCCCCATATGGGACTGTTTTGCTGTTTGAGACTTTACTTCTGATCGCATCCATATTTATGCTGTGAGTGGACGTTTAGTCAGATCCATGTAACACTGCTTGCTGTTTTATTTCGCCTTACTTTTTGGATAGCTTCAGCTAATGTTAGCTCTGGATCCAGTTGTAAACGTTCCGACAGCCCCGTGTCTCTGCTTCACCCAACTCTCCGGTCCTGGTCTCGGATTGATTCCTCTTTTAATGTCTTGAAGTTGCAGTGTTCTGTCAGCTTGTGTACTGCTGTTATAAAAGTCTCTGCATTTTCACCATCATTTTGTTTGCCGACACAGTTGATGTCTAAATACTTCCACCACACATTCATATTTCTTTCTCTCTGACTCACCTAGCGGTAATATGCCCAAGATATTGTCTGCATCGTCTCCTATGGCATAGAACAAGGAGTTGATTTGGTATTCCTCAGGTCTTTCACTCAATCCTGTGATGCTAGACGAAAGTACTCAAACCATCTGATCCATCTTGGATAATCCGCTGAATCGGAGAAGTCGAACAGCTCCTGGTGTGATACCATGTTCCTGCACGCAGTTCTGTGTAACCTATTCTTAAGATTCACTTCTGACATGTATTATATTAATATATTATATACCCTCAACAGAGTGTGTTGAGACCGAAACAAGACCAAGGCTTTGTGGGCTTATGACCGAGACAAGACTAGACACTCCTCAAATGTATCTACTGTCTGAGAAATATCTTATAATCAATAAATACAATTATAATAATAAGACACTATAGAGTTATTACCAATCAAATCACTAACAATAAAAATAATCTTTTTGTTGCAGAGTTGCATCTGGATTTGTACAATTACACCTGCATAAATATTGTTGATCTTAATGTTTTAAAATTAACATTTTGAATATAAATTATGATGGAAAATAAAATGATAGGTTTATTTTTAAATGTGAAACTGACATCAAAACACTAAATGAGTTGCTGAAATAGCAAATACTTGTCTAAAATTGTCTAAAATTCAAGTCACTTATTATTCTTATACTTATTATTATTCTTGTTTATTGTTTATTCTTGTTTATTGAATGTTTGTATAATATCAATATCACATTTGCAATCGTGCTCATATATGCGTAAAACATCTCTTGTGCTCTTGTGATATTGCTTTATTATATTTTGTAATATAAAAATCTCATACAAGTACTTTTTTGCGATCTTTGAATTTTGAGTTTGTTCGTATTAATTTTGGGCTTTTTTTTTTTTTTTGACAATCCTGCGTTGATTTTGAACCTGACAGCACAGTAACAAAAGATAATCACATTGGAAATAAGTTATTGATTGCATTTTAAGCAGTAAGTTTTACATGAAATTACATTGATGATGTTAACAAATAAATCCAACAACGCACCAGTGATTTAGTGATATCCTGGCCTTGACTGGTCTTGAGATAAAACCGAGTGCAAATGCTGTCGAGACCGGGAGAAGACCAAGAACTTCTAAAAATGATCTTTAGACCGGTCTCGAGTACAACAACACGGGCAAGGACTGAATTAAAAAGATGCATTTCAACTATGGTGTTAAATGTGGACACACGGCACATGCATATACTATAGACCTTATGTAGCCACGCCCCTTTTCAGCGCTGCGCTCGTTGTCTTTTGACTTCCGGTCTGTATTTTCACAGCGATCTTGCGTAGTTATGAATGAATGTTAAAAAAATTCCCAAGGTCCATTTGTTAAGACATATGCTTCACTATAAAAAAAATCCCGTTGTTTTTACGGAAAAAAAACGGCAGCATGTGGTTACCAGAACTTTACCGTCAAAAATACGGTATCAACGTTTTTGGTTTTACAGACTTAACTTAAAATTTACAGTAATAAACCGTAATTCATCACTGATATAATGATAATTTACCAACCTATTGAAGTATTAATATCTGTTTTGTACCATTGTAATACACTGACAACCAACAATCATCACAGCAGTGATGAGTCACATGGTAAATCAAAGCTCATCACAAGCAGTCTTCCACAAGAAAGTTATACTACTATATAGAAGCTGCACAGTGTCATTCGCACAAACATTAAACACCATCATGGTAACACACATGAAATTTAAAAAATGCAATAAACATTAATTTAACAACATTAAATGTAACATAAAACCCTAATGTACATAACTGATTAGAAAAGAACTAAGAAACCTAAGAAGAAACATAGTTATTTCAACAATAATAAATCAAATGGGAAGTGTCATGCAGGGAATTGTGGGAATGTCAATTTACGGTTTTTCACTGTAAATTATAAAATTAGTTGTTCTTTTCACTTTCAAAAACTGTAAATTTAACGGTATTTTACAGTAAAATTACATTAAATGTACCGTTAGATCTATCACAGTTATTTACCGTATATAGTAAGGAAACTTTCTGTTAACCAATTAACAGTTTTGCACTGTAGCATTTTTACAGTCTTTTACCGTTAAAATCACGATCATTTTTTACAGTGTTTACAATGCTTATCATAAACATTACAATACTCATGATAACTTTCGTTAACTCTACAATAAGTAAATCAACTTCACCAGCTAATTACTCCTGGACAGCGATGCCATAGAAATATACAGAGCGACCGCAAAAACGGAAGTTCAAAGACAATATTCTAAAGATGGCGGCGCCCTCGTTTCTCTGGTGCATAAGGTCTATGTAAGGGATAATCCACGGCTATCCATGTATTAAAGGATTTTTATTAAAGAATATTGCCTCTCGTGCATTAAAATCCTTTAATGCATGGCTAGCCGTGGATTAGCCCGCTTATACCTCGGTTATTTGCCAAGTTAAAAAGAAGTTAAAGCTGTAACTGATGTTTACAGTGTAATTTTTTAACAGACGTGTAAAAATGAAGGTTATTTTCTTAAGTTACGGCTAGTTAGTTCTAGCACTCCGTCCGCTTTAAATAAAGTGGAGCCATCGGATTGCTTTTATTTGAATGAATTATCACATTTATTTAAATTCATTATTAAAAGAGAGAGACAGAGAACTGAAAGAGTAGGGAGAGAGAGAGAGATGCGTGCGCGATTTACCTGTGAGCGTCTCTTATTTAAGTCTACAGTCCCCTCGTTGCTAAAATCTGATGAACGCTGGTATCTTTTCCATTTTTCCTGTAGCGCTTTAAAACTGATTTAAAGACGGCATTGCTTGACTTGAAGTCTTTATCCCTTATGATGTTGTATTTTGTAATGTGACGGTTATACCTGCTCTGAGACACATCTAACTTGCAATGCTGTATTCGCGTCCAGCGGACTGAACAGAGGCATAAAACTCCCGCAATGTCTCATTTAAAAGAGAAGCAGAGTAGGTCTCCAAATCACAATTGTTCTGTCTTTGGCGCAAAAAGTCACTGAAAGTGTTAACTGCCCATTTAGTTGTCTTTTTCGTATTGACCTCATCTTTGTCGTCTTCGATCTTAGCTCTGTCTTTTCCCTTAAAAAAAGCCTAAAACTTATCTAAGTAATATACAGTATTTCGTTTTCACCCTGCCTCTCCAAATGCAAAACTGACATTAACAAAATGCAATAATGCAGTAACAGCTGAAAAAGTATTGGGTGAGTGTTTTATTTTATGTTTACTGGTTAATAATGCAATCGCTGCTGTCTGTCCCATAGAAGCATAGACAGTAAAAGAAATGGACACAGCAACCCCATAGACTTCAACGGAGAAAAGTGAAATCAATTAGAAGCACTCACTTCCTGATTGCCAAGCGAACTGCGCATGCTCAAACTGAGCTTGAAGACGTAGATGTGACGTGAGCAACCTGACTGACAGTTGTACGTCTTCTAGTAGCTGTGCCAAGAGGAATCTGAATCATTCCCTTCCGAATCTTGCAGAGCCTGAGATCGTAAGTATTAGCTGTTCATGAGCTAGCAGCAGGAGCAACTTTATGACTCTTTATGGGCTTCTCCCTTGACTTTATGCCTCCACGTCCCCCCGATTGTGTGCGAGCTTCTACTTCTGCCTATACGGTAATTTCTGTACTGTGCGACAGAGAGTCGTGTGTTATGACGGAATCGTTAGCCTATTTTTACAAAAACTGCTTCTACGGGGCCATAACGTAAGATACAAGGTAATGGAGCCTTTTATACATTGTCGAGTTTCTTTAGAAATAAATAATGGACAAATGGAGTCTTTAAACGCCTCAGATGTAATGTTATTCGCTGTCAAAGTGACGCCAAAATGAATGGGAGTCAATGGAATGCAAACAGCAGGTGAAGGCTTGTTAGCCAATGGCGGCCCCCGGGGAGACTTCAGTTTCCGGCTGATGGATTACCCCCTTGCATAGAAGAACATGTCAGCCAGCGTATGTTTTGGAACTATTGGGGCTTACCAGGTGACAGCCATCGCGGCGACATCAAAGAGCGTCGCAACTCTTTGTCTCTATGGCGAGCCTACCTAAATAAACGTTTTCATATGTGTCGCTCTCTCACTGTTTTGCAAGTGTAACTCTGTTACTATATGTTTATAGTAGCGGATTAATTTACGAACTGTAATCAAACTGACTGGAACTACCTGTGCATTAAACGGTTTTACTGCACACCTTCCAGCCAATCAGAATCGAGTATTTAAACAGCCCGTGGTATAATGTTATTTACAGATTGATTGTGTTGCATCAAATGTGTTCTGTTGGCTTTTGCTTCTGCAGGACCTGTCCATCGGTGAATGTGATATTATGATGTTTATTTGTCAGAGAATCTATTGTGAAATAAATGGCTCATCTCTCCTTTAACGTCTGTTGTTTTGCTTTTCAAGAGGCCGTTAGCTCAGTGCTTTGCTGTGTTAATGAAACATTAGTTTACTCAAGAGATCAGTTGATAGTGTTGCTCACACTATTTCTGCAGCACAACATGTGATTCAAATTACAGGACATAAATAGCTTTACATAAAATCTGTATTTTATTGTGCTGATCCACTGTTTTAGCTGTATCTGCTATACACATACATGAAATCGAATAGATAAACAACACATTAGATCTAGTTTTAGCTCCCTCTGTAGTAGCTAAAATGAGGATTCTTTTTTCTGTTAAATAATTAAATATTTCATCCAATGTTATTTGAGTTGACACCCCTAGGGGTTGAAGCGGGAGATGTAAGGCCTCTGGGGATAACGGACCTGTGACTTCACCAGAGGGCGTGGCCAAAAACCGGAAGTGACAGTCTATGACATCACGGCCTGACTCCATGTGAAACAGAATCCGCTTTGTATCTTCTCAATCCTTTGTTTACTTGAGATTGTGATTTTTTTTTTAAATTCTTATTTTTTTGTAATAAATACTATTTAAGTTTGGAAATCTGTCCTGGACAGTGAGTGTCAAGCCTTTTCCTTATCTGCTACACCCTATTCAGGACGAGACACGTACCACTGACCCTTTCTCATGAGCAACAGACTTTAATGGAGTGGATCTATTCATCTTCATCTCATAAAGATTTAAATATATTACATAGATCTCGTATTTCCAATTAAGCTGCATATTTAAACATCTGATGAATAACATAAAGATATTTCATTTCAAAATAACTTGTACTGTTCAATGATATAATTAGAATTACAAAGCAGAACCACTGATTTCCAAACACACGATGGGTTTATTTCTCTGTGTTCTTATATTTTATGTAATGAGTGGTTTTAAAATTGTTCTCTTGCAGATCCATTTTATTGAATAATAACATGCCTTATCTAACCAACCAGATGAAGTCATTATAACACAATAATCACTATATAAATACTGATGCTGATGTCTCCAATACCTGAAACAATGAAGAAGACTGTTTGATTTACAGAAGAGTCAGTAATGAGTATGAAATCATATTTACAGTAGAGAAATTCTGGCTAATGATCAGTTAATTTCAGTGATCTCTCACCCTTTTGCTATTGTGGTGCCATCGATCCATTTCCACACTCCCTCTGTTTTACTCAGACCAATCCAAAACTGATCATATCCTGCAACCTTCTGCAAAAACTCCTGTTATGATAGAACATAGTAATATATTGTATAATATATATAGTAGTAAAAATTACAATAACAGTAATGCATCTTTCTCTCATCTGTTAAAACAGACCGACCCATGTGTGTCAATGTGCACAAACAAACACAAAATTGTTTTCTTTCTCACTCACTTGTTCCTCTTCGCTGTTTATGATCACTAGATCTGCTCCTCTCTGTTGACAGTCTCGTCTGCTGTCACTCCATCTCTTCATCTCAGATGAAATATAATAAAAACTGAAGTTGAAGTAAATCCATTTAAAGTTGTCAGCACGCTGATCTATTAATACACCAGTTTAGATATTAGTTTACACAGTTTAGCTTTGTCTGTGTTGAAATTTATGAACAGACACTTGATGTTTAAGTCAATCCTTATTTTTTTGGGAGTGGAATGATAGAAAAAAAGAGTATTTTTTTAATGATTTAGTGAGGAAATCACAAAATTACCTTGTTCATAAAGGACACGTTGGAGTTCATCATTCTTGTTTTTTACCTGCTCTCTTTCCTCAGTCAGATTATTACTGTGGTTCAGTATCTGCTCATATTTGGTAAGTATCTGCTGTCTTTCTTCAGTCAGATTATTAATGTGGGTTAGTAACTGGTTTCTCTCGGTTTTGAAATACACACAGAGCATCATTACAGCAGTCAGCAGAAGAACACACAGCAGACACAAACACACTTCAACTGCTCTGTGCTTTCTGTTCTTCAATGAGACATTTCCTGAAGACGACAGACAAGATTAAATTAGTCTTCACACTTCTACTAAATTCTTATGAACTTTACTCTTACAGTTTTGCTCAATCGCTTTGGCTCAATTCTCAAATGAGTTCAGATCTCTGAACAAATCATTTCTTGTTCAACCAAATTTGGATTTCTTTTTTATTTAAGCAAATTCCACCTGTTTTAGTACAACTGTTTTTGTGCAAAAAAGTATAATATCTTAATGCACATGGCCTGCTGATCAAAACTGACGAGTTGCTTCTAATTAAAATTGTCATATTCAACACATCTAAACAGTCTTTCATCGTGTGAATCATTCAGTTATCAAAATCTGTCAGATATACGTGTCATTTCTAAAAAATCATTTATGACAAGGCATGTTTGTGATGGTGAAAAAACATTTTGACCTTAATGAAATGTTTTGGGTGAATGTTTTTGTTTTAAGTAGGCTAACATTTTGCAGACATGATGTCCCATAAAACAGTTGTGAAAATTGAGTTTAGAGAATGTTAAGACTGTTTAAACTAAACCAACTGAGACAAACACAAGAGATACTACAATACCTTTCTCTCTGTTATAATGTGTATCAGATGAATTACGTTACCAGTGTGTTGAAGTGGCTGATGTCTCTCTGTGTTTGTCCTCAGATCATGATGTCTCACAGTATCTGCACTGTCATAGATATCCACCATCATCTCCACTCTTTCTCCTCGGTCCATTTCCACAGTCTCAGTCATCAACATCACATCATCATATATAACTTCAGTTCCCTTTCGTTGTCACTCCGAGTTCCGTCGGATGACGACGAATGGGGTTTCGCTTAGAAAGCCAATCGACTTCGAATACTTCAAAACGAGCCAATGGCAAAGAAATGCCATGGGTCTGCGGAATTTGCATAGCGTAGCACCGCCCCACCTCGTGGGTATTTAAGGAGCACGCTGGCAGCAAACCGGCATGTTTTCGCTTCGGAGCCAAGGTGATCCTTCGTTCCACAAGCCATTCCTGAATTTGTCAGTTCTTCAAACGAGCAAGATTCTCTGGTGTTGGTGTGACGGCGATCTTCGGCGAGCGCGCACTTCCTGCGTATCTGTCTGTGGTTCGACAGCGAGTGTGTTTCTCCCCGAGCGCTTCAACACAATCAGGTTTCTATTCTCACAAAAGAGCTTGCACGTGGCACGTCTTTTTAAAGATGCCTCGCCCGTGCACTTCTGGTTGCGGTAGGCTGGTTGACGACTCTGATGGGCACGAGTGGTGCATAGTGTGTTTGGGCATTGATCACGCTAGAGCAGCACTCGTGGATGACTCATGTTCTCTCTGTGGGAACATGACCATCGCAGCATTACGGTCAAGACTCGGTGATCTCGCAAGAGTGAGGGTCCCCTCATCCACACCCCGATCTACTGACTCTAGAAATAGAGCTAGTACTTCGGCTGGTGGCCAGGGTGATCTGAGGGTGACGGTTTGGAACCAAGTGCCGACTATCAGTCCGTGCCCAGCCGCACCCTCTCCAATGCTGCAACCCGTGAGTGCTCAGGGGATTCCGGCGAGATCATCTTCGGGTGTCCCGCGGGTTTCCTTTGGCGCTCCAGAGGAAGATGCCATGTCTATTGCAGCATCACAAGGTGGGTCGGAGTCTGCTGGAAGTGAAGACTCATCACAGCTGCCGCCTTCGGGTGTGACTACAGTTGTGCCAGAGTCAGATCCAGAGATGACGGCCATGCTGTCTCGAGCCGCCGCGAGCATTGGGTTAGAGTGGAACCCTCCGCCCTGTCCCGAGCGCTCGCGGCTGGATGACTGGTATTTGGGTCAGGCTGCGGACCCCCGTCCGCGTCAGGCCCCGATACCTTTCTTCCCGGACGTGCATGATGAGATCTCGAAGTCCTGGAAGACTCCCATGTCTTCCCGTGACCGCTCGATGATCTCATCCGCCTTTCCTCCCCTCGATGAGGCCGCTGCCCGTGGGTACACTGGGCTTCCCCCGGTAGAACGCTCTGTTGCGATGCAACTGTGTCCTCAGAGCGCTTCGTCTCGTGGTGAGCCAAAGCACCCATCCAAAGCCTGTAGGTATTCGTCTACGTTAGTGGCGAAGTCCTACAGAGCTGCGGGACAGGCAGCCACCTCTTTGCATGCCATGGCCATTCTGCAGGTCTACCAGGCCCAGATGCTCAGGGACATGCACGAGGGTAGGACGGACCCAGGGCTCTTCAATGAGCTGCGCGCCGCCACCGACCTTGCTCTCCGAGCGACGAAGGTGACCGCACGCTCCCTGGGTTTGGTGATGTCCACAGCCGTGGTCCAGGAGAGACATCTATGGCTTAATCTTGCCGATATGAAGGATGCCGAGCGGTCCCGGCTGCTCGACACCCCCATATCGCAAGATGGCCTTTTCGGCGGTGCAGTCGAGGACTTTGCCCAACAGTTCTCGACTGCGCAGAAACAGACTGAGGCTATTAAGCATATTCTGCCCCGACGGCCCGCTGCTGCCTCCACCCAGCCGACCGGGCAGAGTACTCAGTCTGTTCGCCGCCGAGGGCGCCCTCCTGCGACTCCCGCCCCTCCCGCCCGGCCCAAGCAGCAGCCTCCACCCGGGCCCGGTCGCGGAGGAAGTCGCAAGAAGGCGCCCCAGCCCTCTCCAGCCCCGCCCCCCGCTAAACGCCGGGCCAAGCGGCGCTCCTGAGACGGGCTGCTCAGGGATGACGTGTGTTTCTCAGGAGGTGGTAGCAGGACCACTCCTTCCCCCGGTGGAGGGCCGGGGGAGAATCTTTTGTTCTCCACTCCCCGCTGCTCACCCACGGGTGGGCAGCACCCTAATGTGGTTAAAGAAAGAAATAACACGTTCATCCCTGAGCACACAGAGTTCTTGGACGACACGGTGCGCCGCCCCCGGGCCGTGCACCCCTCGTCCTCCTCTGTCCCAGAGCCGGATGACAGTGCGCGCCGTCTCCGGACCGTGCCACTCTCATCCCCCTCTGTCGCCAGACCCCTGGCAGAGCAGACCCCCGTGGAACGTTCGTCCTTCCCTGGTCTCCTCTGTCAGGGCGCGGTTCATGACTGCACCCCCACATCGGGCCGCTATGCCGTCCACGTCTGGGTCAGTCATACCGCCTCGCTGCCCCACCGACGGGAAGTCTGTGGTTCGCATGACCCCGCTGGTTCAGTCCTTGGGAGCTTGGTTAGAGCTTCCCAACCTGTCCCGCTGGGTCGCACGAACGATCAGGCTCGGCTACGCGATTCAGTTCGCGCGGTCTCCTCCCCGCTTCAGGGGAGTCCGCTCCACTATGGTCGGTGGCAATGCCCCTATCATGAGAGCGGAGGTTGCTACCCTGCTGGCGAAGGGTGCGATCGAGACTGTCCCTCCAGCCGAAATGAGGTCCGGGTTTTACAGCCCCTACTTCATTGTTCCGAAGAAAACCGGTGGGTTACGGCCAATCCTGGACCTGCGCGTATTGAACCGCTCCCTTCACAGGCTGCCGTTCAAGATGCTCACCGCCAAACGCGTTTTCGAATGTGTGCGGCACCAGGATTGGTTTGCAGCGATCGACCTGAAGGACGCCTACTTTCATGTCTCCATTCTCCCTCGACACAGACCGTTCCTACGGTTTGCTTTCGAGGGACAGGCATATCAGTACGCAGTTCTCCCATTCGGGCTAGCCCTGTCCCCTCGCGTCTTCACGAAGGTCGTCGAGGCAGCCCTTGTTCCCCTCCGGGAACACGGGGTTCGCATTCTGAACTATCTCGACGACTGGCTGATTCTAGCTCACTCTCGAGATCAGCTTTGCGAACACAGGGATTTGGTACTCCGCCATGTAGCCCGTTTGGGCCTTCGGGTCAACTGGGAGAAGAGCAAACTTTGCCCCGTGCAGAGGATCTCTTTTCTCGGTATGGAGATCGACTCGGTCGCCATGTCCGCGCAGCTTACGAGCGAGCGCGCGCAGTCACTGCTGACTTGCCTGAGACAGTTCGAGGGCAAGAGTGCGGTTCCACTGAAACTTTTTCAGAGGCTCCTGGGGCATATGGCATCTGCAGCCGCGGCAACGCCGCTCGGATTGCTTCATATGAGACCGCTTCAGCTTTGGCTTCGCGACCGAGTCCCGAGGTGGGCATGGCAACACGGCACGCTCCGAGTACCAGTTACTCCGACCTGCCGTCAGACCTTCACCCCGTGGGGGAACCTCAGCTTTCTACGGGCGGGAGTGCCTCTGGAACGAGCTTCCCGGCATGTTGTTGTAACGACAGATGCCTCCACCACGGGCTGGGGTGCCATGTGCAATGGACGTGCTGCCGCGGGCTCCTGGACAGGACCCCACCGCTTATGGCACATCAATTGCCTCGAGTTGCAGGCTGTACGTCTTGCTCTGCGCCGCTTCCGGGCCGTGCTCAAGAATCAACACGTACTAGTCCGAACAGACAATACCGCCACTGTAGCGTACATCAACCGTCAAGGTGGTCTGCGCTCCCGCCGTATGTCGCAACTCGCCCGCCACCTCCTCTTTTGGAGTCAGAAGCATCTGAGGTCGCTTCGAGCCATTTACATCCCTGGAGCCCTGAACTGTGCAGCCGACGAGCTGTCACGGCTTCAGCCCCTCCCCGGAGATTGGCGACTCCATCCCCAGACGGTTCAGCTGATTTGGGACCAGTTCGGGGACGCACAGATAGATCTGTTTGCCTCTCACGACTCGACCCATTGCGCCCAGTATTATTCCCTGACCGAGGGCACGCTCGGCACGGATGCTCTGGCGCACAGCTGGCCGCGGGGCCGCAAATATGCGTTTCCCCCAGTGAGCCTTCTTGCGCAACTCCTGCGCAAGGTCAGGGAGGACGAGGAGCAGGTCACTCTGGTCGCGCCGTACTGGCCCACCCGGACCTGGTTCTCCGAACTTGTACTCCTCGCGACAGCACCTCCTTGGCCGATTCCTCTGAGGAAGGACCTCCTTTCTCAGGGACGGGGCACCCTATGGCACCCTCGTCCCGATCTTTGGAACCTCCACGTGTGGCTCCTGGACGGGACGAGGCAGGTTTGAGTACCCTGCCACCAGCGGTGGCGGCTACCATCACTTCCGCTAGAGCGTCGTCCACGAGACACCTCTACGCGTTGAAGTGGAACCTCTTCGTCAGCTGGTGCTCTTCTCGCCGAGAAGAGCCCCGGAGTTGTTCGATCAGTGTTGTGCTTTCCTTTCTTCAAGAAGGGTTGGAGCGAAGGCTGTCTCCCTCCACCCTTAAGGTCTATGTAGCCGCTATTGCCGCACAGCATGACCTTATAGAAGGTAAGTCTTTGGGGAAACATGACCTGATCATCAGGTTCCTGAGAGGAGCGAGGAGACTGAATCCTCCTCGTCCTCCTCTCGTACCCTCTTGGGACCTCGCAGTGGTCCTAGCTGCCCTGCGCAGTGCTCCCTTTGAGCCTTTGCAGTCAGTCGAGCTAAACTTCCTATCTATGAAGACGGCGCTTCTGACTGCATTGGCCTCCGTTAAGAGGGTGGGGGACCTGCACGCATTCTCCGTTGACGAAGCGTGCCTAGAATTCGGGCCGGGCTATTCTCACGTGATCCTGAGACCCCGGCTTGGATATGTGCCCAAGGTTCCTACCACTCCCTTTCGGGACCAGGTGGTGAACCTGCAAGCGCTGCCCCGGGAGGAGGCAGACCCAGCCTTGGCACTGCTCTGTCCAGTACGTGCGCTCCGCATCTACGTAGACAGGACGCAGTGTTTCAGGACCTCAGACCAGCTCTTTGTCTGTTATGGTGGGAAGCTGAAGGGAAAG